AGGATGCTAAGCCTAGGACTTCTTTGCACAATCCACAAGTCATAACTTCAAGGTGGGCAGCAGATGAGGCCAATTCACAAATCTCTTTTAACCAACCTTTCAATCGAGTTATTGAATTCTCTGAGTATTCTTTGAAGCCTAGCCTATCTCCATATGAAGTAATGCCATTTTATTTTGTTTTTTTTCCCTTCAAATCAAATGTTTTTTTTTCTGTCTTCTCTTTTTCTCATATTTCTTGATGTAACCAAGCCTTCATACTTTCATGCATGAATGCATTTATTCTTACCTTAAGTCGGGTTGCATTTGTATCAACTCAGATATATGCATTCATTCATATCTCCATATTGGCATAAAATATAAAAGCACCCAAATACTTAAATACATCCTCATATACATACATGTAAAATTACATAACCATACATGTTTTTTTCATGAACACACAGAGGGGCATGTATCTAAATATCTAATGGTGCACTCACAGGACAATCTTTTCATTGTTATGTACCTGCATATATGCATCTGTTTATACACTCATTTTCATGCATGCTGTATAATCTACTCAATCATTCACCACAAAAATGTTCTGAATAAAATATCTGTGTCTATGTGGATTATAGTATTATCATTGTGCTCGCCAACACCATAAAAGTGTATAGCCACTCGCTGTCACCGCAACTCTTGCACGAGTGGGAGACCTGCCCAAATCCTCTCGGACTCTGCCATGTTTGTCAGTCATCAGCGAAGCCTTTGGCTGCTTTTCCTGGACGCAGGTTGGGAACCGTAGTCATTGCTAGCATTTGCGAAAATCAAGCTTCGGCGGCAACTCCCCCACCTCGCCAGATAGTAGCACATGAGAATCCTCTGGCCGCGTTGACAATGGATTGTGAGGGTCGGTTTCTGGCGACAGCATCGCAAAAGGGGACTCTTGTGCGAATCTTTGGAAGTCGCGATTGTGACCTATTGGCCGAGCTGCGCCGTGGTGCGAATTCCGCCTGCATCACCAGTCTCGCTTTCAATATGACTGGTGAGCTTATCTGCGTGACCAGTGATCACGGCACCGCACATGTATTTCGCTTACCGGCCGCGGCTGCTTTGGCCGTGACATCAGCTACTTCTGCTGCTGCAGGAGGTGCAGGAACGGCTACTGTGGCAACATCACCATGCTCTATTGGTGGCACGACTTTAAGCGCCGGACGACCTATCCGCGAATCTGATCTAGGATCCATAGCTGTGGTTGGGGGAACGAATCCCACCAGCCCTGACTCTTACGTTTCAACTGTTGGGGGACTACATGGCTCACTCTCAAGAAAAAACAAGCAAATAACTGGTTCGCGGTCCTCAGGGTAACATATTTGTTCAATCTGTTATTATCTGATATCGCTACATTAAACTAGATCTTTGAAAGCTATATGGTTTCCAAGTAATCCAGCGAAGTGGTTTGACCTTTTATCGTATTGCCAGGGAGACTTAGAGGAACAGATTAGGTCCTAAATCCATGGTAGGCATGATAATTTCTAGAGTGAACCCGTAGTTTTGGTACATTTCTTGACGTTTCGCCGGCATCTTCACCAAACCTTGCAATTCTTAGCACCACGCTACAATTCGTCAGATACAATTGAAACCGATAATTTCTTATGCCCTTGCCGATCCGAAAATATGATAGTTATCCATGATTTTAGTAGGTTCACTTTAGACTTATCTTGATTCCCGATAGTTCCTCTGTGGTCTCCTTGTGATTTCTTTTCTCCAAATAAAAAATATTTCCTTAATCTAGTTGTCTCTTTTCTGTTGATCTTGCTGTTGCCTGATCTTCTTGAGTTTGCAAGGTTTTTGCTAATCCTGCCTTCTTTAAGTCTTTTGTTCATTAGATTTCTTTCAGTCAGATATCGTGTCTTGCGGTTTCTTGTATTTTCACCATATGCATCTAGCCTTTCTGTTGATTTCCCGTCGACTGTCCCATCCGTGCAATGTATTCCACTAGTTCGGATCTTTCTGTATTCATATTTCTGAAGAGACTTTGATGTTGCTTGATTCTTAGGCTGATTTTTTTTACCGTTTCATCAATGTACTTGTGCTCACAGTTGTCGCGTTTCATTTAATAATCTCCTAAGCAATTCAGTTTGTCAGCCTTTTCATGTTGCATCAGCAGTCTGGTGAATATTGTTGTCTTATCCCTTGTTATTACATGTATATTGGATTCTCTTAGTAACGGTTGAATTTTTTATTCAGTTCACAGGATTGCAGGCATATCCATTTTTGGTCGTCCTCCCTATTCTTATTTTTATTTTCGCAAAATTCTATTTGAAATCTGCTCTTTAAGGCCTCTATATTTCATTCTCTTGCTTTTTGGGTACCCTTTACTAGGGTAAATTCAACTCGCTTGGTCTAACTCCTCATCCTACAATTCGTTGTACGTTAATCTTAAGCTTCTGATAATCATCAACCACATCATTATTCCTATCTTCAGTCTGTAGTTGTGACAAGACTTGTAAATGAGGATAATTCCCGCATGCGATATCCTTCCGAATGATCTCCTCTTGAGTATCCTTATTGAGCGAATGATCTCAACACCTAGGTAAAGCAGTTGTTCAATCTCCTCCACTTCCATTGTGAATTCAATTTTTTTTAAATTTGTTTTATAATTATATGAAGACCAAGATGCTGTGGTCTTTCCTATAATTGCAGTCTCTTTTCGATCTATTGAAGTAGATTGATCTCATTTTCGCAGCTTAACCGACTTATTTGGACACACCCTGTCTGAATTCCTCTGCTGTAGTATTTATCATTATTCTCAGCGTCGGGCCGTGCCATTGGTACATTCTCAGACGTTTCCTCGGCATCGTAGCCGATATCATCAGTGAGTCCTTCCATTCTCAGCTCCAAGTCACAACTCGCCAGAAACAAATTAAGTCATTCCGTTGACCAAACTTTCTTCCGAAACAAGTGTGCTATCAATACTCTTTCTACTCGTTTCCCCCTTATCAAACATGCGCCCTATCACAACTTCTGACTTCTTTACCTTCCACTCCTCAAAAGGTGTGCCCTTTTTTGGCTTGCTGTTCACCTTGCATCCTTCTCTTTCGATGAGCTGATCCGTCTCGGACCTCCTTTCCGACTGCAGGTATAAGGGAAGGCTTGAGAGATATCGCCTGAAGTGAAACATATACATGGACTGGAACCGAGTGAAATCAGCCAACAATAAGATATGAATAAATACTGGATCTTGAAGAATTCCTTAGTGATATATTGTGACATGATTCTCTATTTCAAAGGGAAAGTTTGTAGGAGGGAATTCATGATGTGGTCTCATCGGAAACCAAAGGAGGATTGTCGTAAAGAAGTCCTCGGCTCGGGGTTGAAGCACGGTGAGCCGAGGTCTTTGCACAATTCAACAAGCTTTCCTAAGCGCCAATCCTCCTTCGGTTTCCGTTGAGACCATATCACGAATTCCCTCCTATCAGCTTTCCCTTCGAAATGAAGAGTCATGTCACATTATATCACTAAGTAATTCTTCAAAATCCACTATTTCTTCATATCTTATTGTTGGCTGATCTCACTCGGTTCCAGTTTAAGTATACGTTTTAAATCAGGCGATATTTCTCAAGCCTTCTGTTGCACCTACACTATCGGAAAGGAGGCCCGATTCGGATCAGCTAATCGAAAGAGACGGTTGCAAGGTGAACAGCAAGTGTGATGATACCACACTAAACTCGCCAAAAAAAAGGCACATCTTTTGAGGACTGGATTGTAAGCAAATCAGAAGTTGTGATATGGTGCGAGTGTGATAAGAGGGTAACGAGTAGATATATGGGCCAGGATATAAAAAGAAGCGATAACACAACCGTTTAGACAGACTTCATTCATCTATTTGACAAATTGTAGCTTGGTGCTGAGACTGGCAAGACTCATTAATGATGCCAACTACGGTGCTGGAGAATATACCAAGTCCATGGTCCGACGCTGGGAATTATAACAACTACTATAGCGGAGGATTTCGGACAAGGTGGATCCAATGAAGTCGCCCTGACAACGCGACTAAGTTACCATGCAACCAAACTGCATAGTAGTCATTCAGATATCGTATAGGCACTCCTATTTGTAGCAGCGACTTCTCGAATCCCCTTTTCAATTGGTCCATGTATACATATGTTAAGAGGCGAGAGTGGAGATCCCATAGTTCATATATTTGTTCTTACTGCCAGTCCCATGTTTTGGATCTTTTGATAAAATCCATACGATTTATTTACTGGGTTAGAGAGTCTGTCGTTTACTTTCTTGAGCTTAAGGCATACAAATTTCTCTAGGTTTTGTGTCGCCCCATGCTTGTTTTTGGCTTTTAACCTTAGTGGTTTTCCTTCCTTTTTTTTACCATTGTTAGTCCGTAGGATATCAGTAATCTTTCGTCATTTTTAATTTAAGAATTCATCGTCAATCTCGATTTTCCCGTTATGCCTTTTCTTTAGCGTATCTTCATTGTTGGATATTTTCTTGATGTTTGCTAACTGTTCCGGTCAGCTAGGATATTTTCCATTTTATCAATCTGCAATTTTCTTCCCATTACCATCGTCTGCCCTCTTATCCACCTAAGAACTACTTGGGCATTCTTTTTTTTCGAAGGTATGAAGATTAAGATGGTGAAGCCTTTTGTGTGGTCGCAGTCTCCCTTCGTTGTATAGAAGTTA